CGAACGTAGTTTGCAGTTCCGTAAACAACAAAAAGCTCACGTTACAAAAAGTTAATAAAACTTACAATGTCAGTTGCTTCCTTGTCGAGGATTTGTTTGTAAATATTACGAGCTTCATCGAATCTAAAATTAATTACCAGTATTTGCTGACTTACTGATTCAAACCCTCCAAGTACATTCCTTGGAGGCGTTTAACGCGGGAGCTGTCTGCAAAGCGTCCTCGAAGGTGATTCAGACAAACCTGCACAATGATCAGCAAAAAAGAAAACAACGCTCAATGGTAGGCCGACTACTTTTAACAAAATTTGAGCTCCGTGATTAAATATGGTCGCAATTACAAGAAAGATGTACCTGTGCCAGCTCCAAATTCCCAACGTCCAGTGCAGAGATCACGACCTGTTCCAAAATTGTCCATTCTGCAATGAATAAAGGATTAATGATGTGAAACAAAAGACTCCATTGAAAAGAATTCCAAACTAACTTTCATTGCCAAGCCTGTAGAATTTTGGCTCAATATAGGATACCCATAGGCGTACGACTGTCGCACTTTTGCGTACATTGTTTTTGCGAATCTCACGGAGTTCTGAAAGAGCCTCTAAATGCGTGATGAAAGCTCTTAGCAAACAAGTCTTAAAGTCGCTTACAAATAAAGTCAATTGAGCGGTCGAAACCTGTAAGTTAATGTCTATGACAAGCAAATAGTCCAACACATTAATCAGCACAAATCAATAGAATTCCAATCTGGTACTATAAACGTACAAAGCGGAAGAAAGTACTTTTGTTTGGCCCAAAGTAATAGCAGATGCGAGTCACAAAAGATGCCTTACACGGGTTTAAAAAATGCCTAAAATGTCACACGATGGACTCTATTGGACAATCTTCACAGGCGTTAATGCTGCATTCATGCAATTGTTCGCAAGACTCACCATTCATCGCGAGAGTGTACGACAGGCAAATGACGGAGTTTTGACCAATAAAAAAAATCGGGCCGACAGTAGGGTAATTACTAGCTTCTCTATTTGCGTCGTACGTACATAGATCCTTTATTATACTACATTTAATTAGAACAAATTTGAGAAGTCCTTGCTTTACTATCTAGGTACCATTTTAATAGTTGACCCATTAAAGTGTGCCGCACATTTAAGTGGTAAATGAAAACTGCAAAGTTAAAGGACTTAGCCTACACAAACTAACCCGAAAGCTTCCGTAATGTCTCGTCAGCAGGCGAAGGCTCCAGAGCCAATTCGTATGGTATGGGCATTTCTTGGCCGCAAATCTTGGTGCTTGCTAAAGTTGTAACTTCTCTATTTCACTCTTCCTATGTGTTAGTGCAAGTTCTTACAACCTACTTATTTTTAGAACACTGAGCTATTTACCCTCACGTATGGTTCTCTGGTGGCTCAAATTGTGAAAGATTTTGAATCAGATGACGCAATAAATGAACAGTTGGATAATATGTTAGCTTCCTTTTTGACTTCGTTACTTCCAGTGGTTTCAATATTGGCCAGAGGTTGGCCGAAGACTTTGTCGCTAAGGTCAACTCGGGTAGATGCTCGGATTTTAAGGAAACTGCAAATCAGCTGGTTACCGGTTTCAGACACTTCCTCGGAGTCTCACCTGCCGTAAGCAAGTTTAGTCCTGCTGGAGATGAATTTTCGCTCACTCTGGATTCGAACCCTCTTACTGAATTCGTCGATTTACCTGCTGATCATCCGAAGCTTTTGTATTGCAACGTTCTTGCTGGTGCCATTCGCGGTGCTTTGCATAGCGTATGCTTGTTTGGTGTATCTTTTTGTATTAATTCATTTTCTCAGTGTCTAATCTCTGTTGTTAGGTGCAATTAGAAGTTGATGCAAGAATTGTTCTCGATCAACTTCGTGGGGATAAAAAGACTGAAATCCGCGTTAAATTTATTCGTCGGATTAAGGAAGTTTTTGCAGGAGAAGATTAATCTGCCATTTCTCTTTTCTTTTTTCTTACTCGATACTTGTTTTTTTTAATAAATCGCCGTATACCACCTTGTTCCCTTGTCATTCCCCATTTGCAGTGAGCAGCTTTGTAATAATTGTGGCATGAGTTTGTTCTGAGTGAAGTAGCTCATAGTGTACTTCAGATGTCCTCCTCCACGAATCCATCTTCTGTTGGAACGAATATATCGGAGGCTTGGCTAATCAAAGCATTGCGACTTCTGCATTCGCAGAAACCGGAGGATACTGCACGTTTGCGCAAGCTATACAAAGACTCATGCGAAAATGAGTCTGCCGTTGCTCGCATAACTCTTGCGGAGGCCCTTCGGGTGGACCCTTCAGGGCCTAAGGAGGAGAACAGTCCCGGTAGCGAGGTAACTTTCTGGTCGCTTGTTTTCTCATCGATGTGTTGAAAATTTTCGCCTAGCGTGGAGTTGCGCGCCAGCGCATTTCGGCTCAAGGTCCTTTTTTGGCATCAGAATCATCCCAAAGTGATAGTGGAGGTTCCAAATCATCTAAGTTGATTAACTTCTTCGATTTGACAACTACTACATCCACTCATGTTTCAACAGTTTCATCGAAAAACCGCAGCCCTCCAAGCACCACAAATGGTGAGTCGGTGTTGTGCACCTACCAGCTTGAAAAGTTGAACTTTCTAATGGGATTGTAACAAGATCTCATTATCCGTACTTTGGAAACCATTGTAATGTTTTTTTAGTACCCATAATTCCGGTAGTGATGTGTCAAGGCAAGACTATAATCACGGAGCAGTCTTCAACAGTCGTCATGCCGAATTCGGGACTCATTGGAGGAAATGGAAACGGAGGTGAAGCCAATTCGCCACCTGTCGGCATGGAAGCTATGGAAGACCTTGTTGCAGATCTCATGTGCTGTGTGTGTGGTCGCATGACTGCGGCTGCGGATCCTGATGCCAATGAGGCTTTTCCCTCTCCCATTGAAAGTCCTGTCACTAATAACGTGCTTGTGGAGTGCACGCGGTGTCGTAGCCTCTACCATCAACTGTGTCACTCGCCGCCTCTCATCACTGCTCGAGTGCCATCTGGTTGGCTGTGCTCTAGATGCTCTGATTCTTCCTACCTCTCCAAACGACGCTCATCTACTTCGCCCTCTTCTGATCCCGCTTCCGGCTATAAGAAATCCAAAGGCTGATCCTTTTTTCAATGTTTTGGTCTTGTTGCGGCAACCGATAAGTAGGTAATACGTTTGACTTCCACGGTTTTTCAGAATCAGAAATGATTTGGCTAGATTGGTATGCTTTGGCGGTGTTTCCCACAACTTTGCGATGGTGTAACTCTGAACAGGCGTCAAAAGATGTCAATTTAGTTAATCATCGCTTCCATCTGAAAGCTTGTGTGCATTTCCCTCGTTTGGTTTCATCCAATCTGGTGTTGAATGTCTTTGATGTCTTTGGGCTAGTGTCTTCTTAATGGAACGAATTTTCATCTCTCATACTCTACTATGTGATGTTGAAGTACTAGTACATAATCGCGTTTATCAATCATGGGGCTTGCGGTGGTATACAGATGCTACTGACACAATTATGATGACCTCGGAGCGAGCTATTGGCATTGAATAAATGTCAGTGGTATCATCTACTCCGCGTATCAGGATTTTGGCGAATACACGGATTATTATCGGTATTAAGGTTTCGTCAAACACAATGGTCACTCTCAGTTTTGGGTCATCGCTTTACACTGGGCCGCGTTTAAAGGAATGTGGGATCTGTGTAGCATCGTATAACAAATCTTAGTTTTATTGATTCCGCTGTTTTGAGAAGTTCTTCCCTTCAGCTTTGGCTTTAGTTGGTGAGCCTCATTGGACCAAAACCTTCGTACATTGTTCAGTGGCTCACACTACTACTTTTTATAAGTAGTTGGGAGAGAGCTTCACGACGCGTCAGGATTACTAATACTTTACCCGACAGGTCTTTTGGTGCTGATCGTTGGTCACTATTGCGCTAAGTTTTGGCTTGGTTAGCGATAACCCACTTGCATAGGACGGTAGGGATCACACAACCTTGAATACATTATTTGTCGCACTACTCATTTCTTGGTTTTCTAGTCATTTTATTGCATAAGATCAGCTGAGAGAGGATTACTTGGCTGGGATCCATGTGAAATGCTCTTACATGTACAGGAGGACCACCTTAGTAGAAAAGTTGCTTTTGTACTATTGGAAGTAGGTTCTGCCATTTGTTAGGGCATTCACAAAGGTTCTGTGGCACCCTGAGAGACGGACGTATACAGAACGAGGCGCTTAAGGACTACCAATACGGCCCCGAGGTCATTTTGCTTGGGAATGGTATAATTGTGGAGCTCCTAGGCGGCCTGTCACTGTATGCGGCAGCTGAACACATAAGTGCAGTATTGCAGCTCGTGAATTTTACCTTGGAACCACGTGCAACAAGCAAACTAAGAAAGTTTAAGTTATCTTGACCTACCTATCGCAACTAATTGCGGTACAATATCGTCAAATTTGAGCTCATCAGTTGTTCAAGTCTTTTATTCACATAAACCATGACACATGGGCAGAGATTGTAAAAGCGAAGTGTAGGGCAGCTGAAAGGCTATCGGCGTGGTCTGAAGGAGGCCACAATGGCATCCGGTGTTTGAGTCACTGCCCTCCGCGTTACACAAGCTATCACATTGACGGCCTTCTCCATCACGACTGCTACAAGGAGCTTGCTTGTAGTGCTCGGATCTACTAGCGCACTCCAAAAGCCAGATTGTCATACGAAGGTGCATTGCTAAAACCGTACAATTCCCTTTGCCATTCTGATCTCGTATCACTGCTGCCCAACTATGCCCATCTAGGATTTATCTCCTGCTTCTGTTGCCGCCTCGCACCAGTACAGTTTACAAGCTACGGAAAAAGGAATCGGGGCAGTTGCCCTTAGAATGCGACATGCAAACCCTACCGCCATTTTGAAACGTCGAGATTTTTTTTGAGACCAAAAGAACTCACAACTTCGGGCTCGGTGGCTGTGCATAGAACAAAGCTTAAAATGCTCTACATCGTGCGATGTCTTCCATTTTCGGTTGTGCGGCATTTCAGTGTCCATCTGGTAATGCAGCTCCTCCTAGACGCTATGTTTAGCGCGTTGGAGTGCAATTGAAAGACGCATTTTCAACTACCCTCGCTCTGATAGGTGATCTATCCCCTTCATGCCACTCTAGACGACCTGTGCACTCCACCAACAATAGTTTTTTTTTTGGCTTTTAGTCCTCCAATTTGAGGGCTTCAATCCAAATCCAACAATTTGTAC